CAGTTGGGTATTTTTAAAATCTATTAATAATAATGAAAAAGATTACATAAATAAATCTAAATTATTCATAGCTACCCATTAGTTTGTGCTTTCTACATACTGGGCACTGTCTACCATGTTGATTTGTATTATTCGTTGAATCATTATTACACTAATAATTATTCCCATTTTACAGATGAAGAAATGGGGGTTCAAGTTAATTAACATGCCCAAGATTACATTCAGTAAGTGACAAAACCAGGACTAAAACCCAGGTCTCTTTGGCTTGCTTTAAACCTGTGCTTTTAATAATTTCTCTACTGCTGCTTAAACAGGTGTGCTCCAAAATTAAGGACCCATAAATGTTTTTTTGCTTTGCTTAATTTTTTTAGCTGCAGTATCTTAGCCAGCATTTGTTACGACTTTGCCCATAGAGCTTAATAAGTGTAAACATTCAGGGTATTAACCATTACACACATAAAGTATGAACACACTTACAAGGTTTATTTAAGAAAAGTATTGGGATTTGTTAGATTCTTGCCCACCAGAATGTGCATTTTTTTATTTGAAATAATGAGAGAGATTGTTTCAGACAAAAACCAAGTTTTGATTCAGCAACAGTGATTAGACAAACATCTTGATTTAATATTGGTCCACACTTCACATATACACTTTCTTTTCCGTGTATTTGTATTAGATTTTAAAAGGTAAGTGGCAGTTTTTCATGCACTTCCAAGTTGCTTTCATCAGTAATGAAATACTTGGCTTGGGCAGTCTCTGGAGTCCCAGAATTTCAGCTTAAACTTTCCATTCGCCCCTGCCAGGCACTAAGTCTAAAATATCTTTTTTATGGAGAACGCCTCCAAAAGGTGCGGCTGTGTGCTGGTTTCATCTTGCGCTTTGTAGCGGTGTTGGCACCGTGCGGTGCGAGGAATGCCACTGTCTCCCACACGCCACCGAGCCCGAGGGCTGTTCGGGCCTGTCCGCGTTCATGGTTTGGGAAGGGCCTGCGCTTGAGCGAAGGCTCTCCTCTGTTCTCCGCGATTGGTTGTCACCAGGGCAAAGGGGGAAAAACAGAACTAGTGGAAAAGGCAGAATCTGATGAGTCATCAAAAATTCTTTCTCCAACTTGGGGCACCCAGTTCACTGTTGAAGACTGATTCCAGTTTCTTAGGAAACAGTGCGTCAGCTTCCCCGCTTTTAGACCCTCCTGCTGTTCCTTTCTTCTTTCTCCTTAAGTAATACTGATTTCTTCTGATGAGGAAAGGACTCAGCTAAGAATCTGTGTTCGCCAGATTGTTAAGAGTGGACTTGGCTACCACAGGATTCACAACTAAAAAGCATTCCTCATTCAGGTATAAAAACCTGTCTGGAAGATGAAATCTAATTAGAATTTATATGTAAACTATATGAGGATCATGCACATTTCTGTGTTGTTTGATAGCCACCATAGATGATCCATACATTTTGTTAGTTCCATTATGTTTTCGTTTATTGAACTGTATAATGTAGGGCTTTATTATGGACTTTTGAAAGAGCAATTTACCAAATTTGGTATTCCTAGCAATTGTCATTTCCTGTTGGAATTTCTTAAAATGAGATCTCATGGAAAAGTAAAAATTGACCTTTGTGCACTTAATATAATGAAAGGAATAGTTGGTTTTAGGATTGTTGAAATAATTAGTATTTTGCTTTAGAATACTTTTTAGACTTGATGTTAATGGATCCTACTGCCTGAATTAAAAGTGAAATTGAAAGGTTTCTGGGTATGGCTTCCATGTTCCCTGTTTAAATATTTTAAAGGTAAATGGATTGAATCACAGATGACGTACTAGAAAATAGGAAATCCTTGCATTGTTATTTTTAAAAATCGTCTCTCGCTGTACAGTTTACCTTTTGAAACTCCCATTGCAAAACTTTGATCAGCTGTGATGATTCATATATTTGGTAATGAAGCTCTTTTCAATATTAAAAGTTCAGGGGGAAATTCAGTGTATTACCTGTATTCCTACCACATGCATCTTGTGCACGCTGAGAAAAGTTCCAGATACCTGGTAGCTGTCACAAATGCGTTTTAGAAACTTCACATAATTCTTGTATGAGTGAAACAAATGCTATTTTGTAACTCAGGATACTGAGAGTAAACTGCCATTTTTTTGCCAAAGAACCACTGAAAGAACTGAGGAAAGAAGTTTTGCTTTTTTCTCTCTCCTTCAAGCTGAAGTGAAGAAATAGAAAAATAGAAACCCTTTTATATGTAGTATTTGCTAACCCAGTAATACAACAGCTGTTGGGTCTATATTCCAATCACAGTTAGGTGAAATCTTTAACATTTAATTTAGCTTTCATATTTGCCTGCAGAAATGATTATTTTGATAAGATTCTGGAAGGAGATAAGCCATTATTAAGTATTTCCATTTTCAGTTGCCAACTTTAAAGGTTAGTTTTTTAATTTAAAAAACATAATGCTTGTGTAGTTAATGAGGGAAGAAAAAGTGGAACTGGGCATGTTAATTGGATGACTGTTGGATGGATATGTGGGTCCGTGTATTTATGATTTAATCTTTAGCTTTCTGTGTCTCGGCGTGTGCTAAGACCTGCAAGTTTGATAGAGCTAAGGAGAAACACTACAGTGAGTTCCTGATTAATAACATTTCTGTATATCATATCTCTACTTTTATGTTTTCCTCCTGTTACATATGCTGATCGGGTGATATTTTGTTTTGTGGAGAAGGCATTTACGGAGGAGGGTATTTTTGAGAGCTGAGACTCTTTGAAGGCAGGGGGGAAGTATTTTATAGCTTATCAAAGGAAATGAACTGGTGTGCTTTTTCATTTTATAGTATTTCTTTTTAAATTTTACAGTGTTTTAAATTAAAAAGTCTACATGAAATTTTCAAGACATTTATATTTTCAGTGCTTTTCAGATACACTCACATTTTGACATTTAAAGACACAGGGATGCTATTGCTGGATTTTGTTCAGGGTATCACCCACATGAACTTGCTTATCATAATAGCACATCCTAAGACTTACTACTAAATCAAAACAGATTACTAACTCCATCCTGGATATTCCAGTTCTGGAGAGGAGCTGCGGTAGTAAATACTGATTTCCTGGCAAATTCTCCAGGTGATCCATAGGCTCAGGCAGGTAAGGGAAACACAGGAGAGATAAAGTTCCTACTCAGCATTCTGCATAGTGTCTGTCTAGAAAGTCAGTGATATATCTGTCCTGCCTTCATGAAATCCAAAATGTGTTTCAGGAATGTTACAGTAGCACAGAGTCACCCAGTGATACACTTTGCAGGCCCAGAGTTCAGATGTCAATAAGCCCTGTGTCCAGACACCCTGTCCTCAGGGATGGCCTTATAATGGGATCTCTCTAGCACAAAGCCAACTCGAGAATCTTTAATCTGTTGTTGACAAAATTTGCCCTTGCTCAGGCTCTAGGACTGTGTTCTCCAATACTGTGGTCACTAGCCACATAACAGCTATTTCAATTTAAATCAATAAAAATTAAAAATTCGGTTTCTCAGCCCCAGCAGCTACATTTCAAGTAGCCACATGGCTAATCACTGCTTTATTGAATAGCATAGCTATAAACATTTCCATCATCAGAGGAAGTTCTAGAAGTTGCTGCTATGGGCTTTTCTTCCATAATTTAGCTCTACTTTTATCCTAGGAAGTTGCAATGGCTAATAGAGGTAGGTGGCAAGATCACATGTTGTCACTCTATCACAGGACATTTTGCAATCTTAAAGGATCTTAGACCATAGGGTATAGGGTTTACAAAAATGGTATAAGGTCATTAATTCTCTGAGGTCAAAATTTAATAGCAATTTTATGTTATTTTTGTATTGTAAATCTATTGTCCTATACAAAATCATAGTATTAGAAAAAGGACCTCTCATTAGAAATTTGCTTAACATAATATGTGGCTTATAATAATCACACACCTAAAATCTTAGATTATATAAACTATTCCTAGATAGGAGTACACAGTGATGAACCTTAAGTGTCTAAACAGTTATTAATTGGTAGCTAATAAGCAGGTTGCACATGTAGATACTTTTATAACGACTGTCATTTTACCTATATTTGCAGTTTGAGAAATTTGAGGTGAATATATTTAGCTCCCTCTTCTGGTTTATAATGAGAATTTTTTTTTTTAATATTTTCAAACGTTTGTGGAGTAAGAACACAGTTATCAATATAATGTTGAAGGACAGTTGTCATCCAATTCAATTTTTTTTCTTTTGTATCATTATAATTAGGAAAACATGTAAATAGAGCATGGTAAAAATGGGTTCATGCAAGTATCACATTTCTTAAGATATTAACTCACCAAAATAATGTAAGCAAATAAAGGCTTCCTCGCAGGAACATGGGTACTTAACTTGAGTGCCAAGTGGCCAGTGATCATGTATATTGGCTTCTGGCCCTGATATTGGCCCACCTCTGACATTTGTGGGGCTTCGGACAAGAGTACAAAAGGGGACCCACATACCCTGTCTCTGAATATTTTAAGTTATAAATCACATTAACAAACTGTTTGATAAAATCTATTCTGTCCTGCCTGGACAGTTATTTCTTCATAATGACCAGGAGCCACATTTTAATTTTGATTTCTTGGGCTCCAAGTTCTGCCCAGAGCACTGCTTTTCAGGGGCCTTACACATCCAAACTCCATTCCACTCAGAGTCCCTTGGGCCCAGGGGCACCCCAGCAGGGAGGTGTGCCCTAGGAAGGATGGACTTAGGGGAGAGACCATGAGAAGCCATTGGGGCAAGGGATTTGGGGGTTCCAGGTAGTATTCTGAGTGTGTCCTAGGAGAGAAGCCATGTCTCTTGGCCCTCAAAACTCACAACACTTGAGTACAGGGCTCAGCACAGGGCTCTCTTGCCGGGCCTCAGTTTGCTACTGTCAGAACTAAATTATTTTGTAATTAAATGTTTTTCATTGTCATTTGATGCATTTGCCCCAGGTTAAACATAATCATAGGATTTTACTTTTTTGCAGCTTTGACCCTTCCGGATCTTGCAGAACAGTTTGCCCCTCCTGATATCGCTCCACCCCTTCTTATCAAGCTAGTAGAAGCCATTGAAAAGAAAGGTAATACAACCTGTAGAGGGAACCAGTTAACTTGTTATATCCTTGTTTTATGGGTGTTAGAACTTGTGTTTGTCTCTTGGGCATTTCTTAAATCCTGTGCTAGACACACAGTGATGTGCTGTTGTATACTGGGGACAGAATCTTGGTCTGATTTCTAACTCCATATTAACATGCACTTACACTGTATGGAAACTATTAAGTTCTCCATAATTTAATAAATATAATTAACTTAATCCTTAGCAGACAGAAGATTTTGCCAAAATTATTGACAGGCCAGATAAAATTAATAGTAGGAATGGATTTCCAAGAATATTTGGTACACATCTAGAATAGATACTGATGGAAACTGGAATGTCTTTCTGGCAGCGGTCTCTCAGGTTCTCCTGAGAGCTGTGTTTTGCATGCTCACTCTCTTTTGTGTCCTAGGTCTGGAATGTTCAACTCTATACAGAACACAGAGCTCCAGCAACCCAGCAGAGTTACGACAGCTTCTTGATTGTGGTGAGTGCCGTGGAGCTGCAGATACAAATGGCAAAGACAGTTCTTACCTTTCTGTTTCGGGTAAAGCACAAGACACTTGAACTCAGCCTTGCTACGTTCTAAGCTTGAAGGGAGCACAGAAATCAAGCATAGTTCCCTCTGCCCTATTATGGTAACAATGCAGACTTTTGATGTTTGTCTCCTGTGTTGGGGTGTGTGTGCAGCCTGCCTGTAGATATGTAGGCTGTCATCACAGCCATGAGCCTCTGAGTCCTGCTGGAATTGCAGAGGAGAGAAACAGCCTCTTGAGATTTCTCTGGCTTTGCCTATCTACCATCTTTCCCTGACCCTGCAGTTGGCCCCCTCTAATTCATCTGGATCAGTTTTTGAAATATTTATGTCTATGTCATTTGACAGATGTCTCTTCTCACCTTTTCCCTTTCCCTCTCTCTTTGCTTTCCCCTTCCCTTTCCCTTTCCCTTCCTCCCTCCCTCCCTCCCTTCCTTCCTTCCTTCCTTTCTTCCTTGTTTGCTTATATTTTTTGTGCCATATTTACCTTGAGTAACATCTATTGTGAAATTCCATGGTATAGTGGTAAACCACCTCTGAGGTGGGGAAAGAGCCCTGGTTGTTGCATTTGCCCATTTCTGTGGTGTAAATATTCTCACCATGGTCAACTTCAAGCCCTCATGTTACCACTGGACTCCACCTTTGGCAGAATCGAGCACATTTACATTGGCCGTTAGGAGTGGGTACAGCCCAGCTCCTGCATGTCATTGGTTAAATGACACTAATTAATTCAGCCAAGTAGCAGTTCTATTATGTGTCCCTCCCCTCCTTTGCCATATAGAATAAGATGGTACAAAGGTGAATAAGTTTACTTGCCATCATTCCAGCAAGTCACCTTTTCTGTCAAGTTCTAGAATCACTCAGATCCTTCATCTGCTTCCAACACTTTTCTTTTTTAGAAAAATAACTTTCCTCCTCACATAATTTTAATTGATGGATGTTCGAATGAAAAAGAGTGAAACCAGTGTGGAAGAAGCTCTTTCAGACATGTGCAAAGAATGCCCCGGTGATAGTTAGCAAATGAACATTTGAAGTGTGAGGCAGCTTATGAAATTTTTTAGAAAAGATGTTTCGGGGGAAAAAGAAGGAGATTAGATCTTTATCAGTAAATAGTTTCACTTGAAATGTACCACCTGAATGTTTGAAGCTTAAAAAAAATTTCTTTAACTTGTATTTTTTTCCTTTGTACATGGAAATCAGCCTTACACTTGAGGGCATGTCCTCTTTGCTGCTGTGCCTCTGGTCTTGCCCCAGAGTAGGTCATTAGGAGCTGATTGGCATAAAACTATAGGTGAAAGACCTATTTTTCTTTATTTTTAACAGCTTTACTAGGGTGTTAAGGAAACACTGAATTTTGTCCTGAGCTAGTTGCAGTAGTGATACATGTTTTGGTCAGAAAATCGGTCAAGTTGAACATGTTAAAAGTCACAGGAAATGTTTAGACCAATGAAATGGGAGTTATTTGAGAAATAGTGGTTGAGTTTTTAAATGTGACCAAACACAAATGATGCAGTTTAGCTTAAAAAAAAAAATCCTCACACCACTTGTGTGATGGAATAAATAACCAAAATATACGTCAACAATATATTTTGACAGACAGATTTCCTTCCGTTTGAGATCAAAGCACACACATAGAACACTGGTTTCATTTGGATTCTGTACTATAAAAGTGAATTTTGTCGCCAAAAAAAAAAAGAAAGGGAACATTATCTGAATCTAGAAGTTGATCCTCCAGGCTGTTTCCAGCCTGAGGATTTTTCAGTTCATAAAAATATTGTAGTGTCCTAGAAGCAGCTCAGAGATAAGTCACTTACACTAAACAAAACAAAAAACAAAGAAACATGTCTTTTTAACCAACTCTATGAGTTGCCAGTGTCTGAAAAGGACAGACAGGCAGACAACAGCCCACTTTCTTACCTTCCACTAAGTGCTCTTATTTCGCCCACACTTGAACCTTGCGACACAAATATCAGTGATTGCTGATGCAAAGCTCTGACTTGCACCCAAATTGTTCTGACCCTAAACATTCTTATGCTTTTGTTCTGACTATATTGTTCTAAAATGAATTATTTCTTTCTTATCTCATTTGAATTTTAATGGGTGTGAATTTTTTCCTATTTTGGTTTTCCTTAACCCAAATTAGGCTTTTTCTTTAGAAGCTCTCATCAAAACAATTTTTGTTAACTAGGCTTATAGTGATGATCATTTCATGATGTATATGAATACGAATCATTTTGTTGTACACCTAAAACTAATATAAAATCTCAATTTTAAAAAAATCAGGCCTTTTCAACCTCAGCACTTATTGACATTTTAGTACGGGTAATTCTTTGTTGTAGGGGCTGTCCTGTGCAAGATAGAATGGTTAGCAGTATCCCTGGCCTCTACCCACTAGATGCCATCATCCCACAATTGGGACCAAAAAATGTCTCCAGGCCCGGCTGGGCGTGGCTCAGCGGTTGAGCGTCAACCTAGGATCCAGGCGATCGGGGTTCGATTCCCAGTCAGGGCACATGCACATGCCCGGGTTGTGGGTTCAATCAATGATTCTCTCATCATTGATGTTTCTGTCTCTGTCTCTGTCTCTCCCTTCCTCTCTCTGAAATCAATAAAGATATATTAAAAAAAAAAAAAAGCCTCCAGACATTGCCAGATGGGGCAGCAGCATTGGGAGCTAGTGATGTGGAGGTGAGCTGAGGAGAGTGTGCTGGGGGCCGGTCATGAGTGGACTTGGCGAAGAGTCAGGTGGAAAAGGAAGTAAACTCCCCCACCCAGACCTAAAGGTTGTGCAGCTCTCACCTGGCTAGTTTCGAAAGTCAGTACCGCTCTTGGAAGAGTTTAATGCAAAAAAGGAGACATAGGGCAGAAGTCAGAAACTCCAAGAAGCTTTAGAAGTTGCATTAAAAAGAAAAATAGGACATACTATGTCATGAGCTCTAGTGGAATCTGACTTTAGGTGAGCTTATGCAAGGACTTGCCAAAGACTTACCCAAAGACGTGAAGTAAGGCTATTTCACTCAAAGACGGCAAAGGCTCTTTGGGCTATGCCTCATGTGTTAGAGCAGTGTTAATTCGCCAAAGCCCTATTCTAAGGACTTTTTATAGTTCAGCCACAAACACTGAGCAGGCACATTCTGTGTGCTGGGCTGGGCACGGGGAGGCGGGAGGAGCCGTAAGAGCCACAGCCCGTGCCCGTGAGGTACTCTCAGCCTAGCAGGCAGACTCCTCAGAGTACTGTTTGGGGCGTGTCGTGAGGGAGGGAGACGGCTCGTCAGCACTGCTCTTGCAGAGAAGGCAGCAGAAACCCTGCCTGCAGAGGGGCATGTGGAATCTTTAGTGTCTTCATGTTCATACCACATCACCCAATGGTTTATCACATTTTTTAGGATGAACAAATTAAGTAATACTAATTTGCTGGCAAAGAGACATAATAAATGAAGCATGTGGGGTGGAGCGTGAGGGGGTGGGCAGCAGCTTGCCCAATAGTCAGTGGCTATGGAATGTTCCCATAGTGATTCACACACGGTTTTGCTTGACGGTCTCTAGTAAGTAGTTGCATTACTTTCGAGGTGGGTGGATCCTTTATGCAAAGACCTAGTACCGCATTTCCCACGCTAGTTAGAGATGGGATGCCTCTCGTTAGTCCTTCGTAGGACGTTTAACTGATTTAACCGTTTGACTGTACCGTTTAAGTTTAGTAATTCTTTTAGTCAAACCTATCAACATTTTCCATGAGGTAAACTTTTCTGAGCTTTATGATATTGTGATTATATTGTAAAATCTGCCTAGTTAGTTGGGCAAGTTTGGGTTATGATAAGAATGTGTCTCAGGAACTTCTGTAGCCTCAGGCTCAACCTGGAGTGATTTATAACATCACCCTTGGTTCACAGGATCCAGAATACCACCTTCTAATCACGCTCAGACACTTTGCCTACATAGTTCTTTCCCATTCTCTCCTAGTCCCCAGCCTCCTCCGTCAGTCACCACATTACACTAGTCTTGATAACGTCTCACGCATTTCTAGCTGTATTAGAATTCAAGTCACAAAAGTGTTATCTTCACTTCCAACAGCTCTGCTTTCCAACTTACTTTTAATACCACAGTTAATAAAGCTGTTTAAAAACATACCATTTTGTGCAGTGGCTCACTTTTTCTCCATTGAGTCTCCAGATAATTTTCTTCAGGTTTTACCCTTCATGTCATGAGTATGCATCCTTCAGCAGCAGCCAAATGCCTCTTCTTTCTGGATGGTCATTCCTGTCCCTAGTATCACTTCTTTCTGCCCGACACTGTGCATTTCTCTCTCCAGCACTCGGAGAGTGGCTTTGATTCGTATCACCCATTATTGAATTGCCTGACCTCTTTTCCAGCGGAAGGGTTTGCTGGACACATATGCTCTTCTTATTGTTCTGAGATAGCTCAGAGCCCACTGGTGAAGGCAGTAATGCCCTAATCGCAATACCCTGTCAGAATTCGGGGAAATGCTCTAAAGATACTCAAGTTATTTTTATGGATATTAGTGAGATTACTAAAATTCTGTGATATCTTACTATCTTAATCGGTTACTCTGTTGCTTTAAATTTTTATTAATTCTGAGCTGCATTCTTTAGCATTCTTTAGGAAATTTATGGACTTGCATTTTATGTTTTCCTGTTGAGGTTTTAGGAAGCATTTACTCTATGAGTGGCCTTCCCTGGGCAGAACCCCTCTCGTCAGGGCAAAGCCAGCCTCCAGAAGTTTCATTCACTGATACCTAGAAACAGTCTCTCTGATTCTTTTCTCATTTCCTCCTCCTTTTTTAAAAAACTTTGGAAATGTTTTGGGGACTACAGTTTGTTAGGGGTGCCACAAATAAAATTCCACAGACTGGGTCGTTTAAAAAATAGAAGCCCATTTTTTCAGTTCTTAAGGCCAGAGGTCCCAGATCAAGGCAGATGTGGTGTCTTCTGAAACCTCTCTCCCTGGCTTACAGATGGCCACCTTCTCACTGTGCCCTCCCGTGGCATTTCCTCTGCGCCTGTACCCCTGGTATCTTTTTGTGTGTCCGAATTTCCTCTTCTTTTAAGGACACCAGTCAGATTGGATGAGGGCCCACCCTAATCGCCTCATTTTAACTTGAAACATCTTTAAAGGCCCTGTCTCCAAATATAGTCACATTCTCAGGTATTGGTAGGTAGGGGCACAATAATTTTCTGTTGCCCCAAATTCTGGGAATATGCTCCTGGCATTATGGGCAAGGACCATCATGCTGACACTCACTGTGTTGGGGACAGACCTACAAAAAGAAAAATTGTTCTGTTTGAAATGCCAGGAGCAACCCCTGTGAGAAACTCATATCGGTCCTCATTGCTTCCTTTCATATGTCACTTTTAAGTTAAACATTCAGAAAATGGGCCCAGCCAGTGTATAAAATATCTAAAATCTTTTTTCTTTTTTTTTTATGTTTCTGTCATAGATGCCGCCTCCATGGACTTGGAAACAGTTGATGTTCAAGTTTTAGCAGATGCTTTCAAACGCTATCTGTTGGAGCTACCAAATCCCGTCATTCCAGTAGCTGTTTACAGTGAAATGGTTTCTTTAGCCCAAGGTTTGTTTTCTCTTTGAGAACTTAATTGAACAGATATTGAAATGTGGATGTGTTTGTAAAGTCTGCACAGGTAGAGATAGTTTTCAGAAAATATCAGTCGGAATCTTTCCTCCTTCCCCCACCTTTGTTCCCGCCTCTACCACCACCCGATCCCCCACTCCCATCAGTACAACTTCCTCTATTAGCATCCAACAGAAGACCCAGATTCTGGTTCCATGGAAGACTGTCCATATGCTCAAATGGCTAATTGGTAACTTTTATCAGGATTAACAGAGTTCATTGCATCAGTGAAGGCCACAGTGTTCAAAGTACCATCATTGGGTTCGGGAAACTGGGACTAGGGCCGGGTGACTGGACTGGGGATGTTCCTATCATCTTCAGGTGGCCCTTACAAAAGTTTTGAGGGAAGAGGAGTCTCAGGTTTAAGAGCTAATGCTCAGTTAAAGTGCTTTGGGGACAGGAAATTGTGGTCTGTAACCTTCAAAGTTAAAACCTGTGATACTTATCTGGAGCTCCTCCAAATTAGCCAATCGCACTTGCAGCTGCTCAGTAGAGGGCAGATTTCTGCCAGCACACCCTGAACCTTTTGCGGTTTCTTACACCAAGAGTCTCTTGCACTCCATTTGCCTTGAGATTTTTACTCTCTCACAATGCCTTTTCTAACGAGGACAGGCGGGCTGCCTGCTGCTTCTGATGGCTTTGTTTTAAACGACTCCTTCCTCTGTAGCCAGAAGGACAGGCATTTTCTAGGTGTTTATTCACTGATACCTAGGAACAGTCTCTTTTATACTTTTCTCATTTCCTCCTTTTTTTTTTAACTTGTAGAAGTACAGAGTTCGGAAGAATATATCCAGCTGCTGAAGAAGCTCATTAGGTCACCTAACATACCTCATCAGTATTGGCTTACGCTGCAGTATTTGCTCAAACATTTCTTCAAGCTCTCCCAAAGCTCCAGCAAGAATCTCTTGACTGCAAGAGTGCTCTCTGAGCTTTTCAGCCCTCTGCTCTTCAGATTCCCAGCAGCCAGGTGAGTGAGAGGAGAAACACGTGTTTTGGGGAGATGAGGGTAGTCCTCGATTGATTGGCCTTCACGCTTACTCTAAAGGTACTAGTTCCCAGGCACATGTGCACACTCAGGCTAGAATGTATGTAAATGAAGAGTCTGGTTTTTAATAGAACTCTCTCTTTTTTTCCCTGTAGCTCTGAGAATACTGAACACCTCATAAAAGTTATAGAAATTTTAATCTCAACGGAATGGAACGAACGACAGCCCGCACCAGGTAATGCCCTTTGAATGTTTAAAATTCTCTCATTGTTTGGTTTCTGGAGCCTAATAAATGGCTTTGGACTTCATCTGAAATAACATAAGTTTCTTGTGGAACTGAAATTCATAATAGCGTGTTCTTGTGATTAAAGAAAAAAGTAGCTGAATGGTGGTGTGGATGGTAAATGTTACCCGTAGGTCAGTATTTGTGGATTTTAAATGATCTTGGTTTTCAATGAAGCTTGTTGGGAGAGCTCTCTGTTCCCCTCAACTTCTATGCTTTTAGTTTTGCATAAATTATGGAACTCATTTTAGTTGTTGACATTTTAGTTTGTCTTTCTAATATTTAGAAAGTAGGGGATTTATAATTGCTATATAATTTAAAGTATTTGGGAATGTGTTTTTTGGAAGCAGGTATGCTGAGAAATGTCTGTCAAAATAAACATTTTCAATAATGCAAGTAGTATGAACCAGGGTGTTCACTGCAGCGAGTTAGAGCAAGCCAGACACTTCTTTGAAAGCAGGCTGGCATTCAGTTAGCCATTTAACAAAGCAGGAAATGTGCACCGTGTTAGCAGGGGATTAATTTAAACTGATGTATTTTTCTTCCACTGTAGAAAGTCTAAACAACCTTACTTTGCTATATATACTGGTTAAAAGCTGGTCATTTAGAATAGTGATTAACGTCCTGTAAGTAAAGTTTCAGGACCAGTAAAAGGTGTTACTTGTACTCTTAATATATGCCTAGAATTAAAAAAAAACACAAAAACATCAGAGGTAGCTCATGTAACTTACCAAATTTGTCTGTGTGAGCAGGCATGGGAACCCAGTTGTCAGTGTCAGGCAGTGGAGATTTAAGTCGTGCTCTTTGAGGTGTCCCATGGCCAGGGTTGGTTGTTTGCACTTGGATGGGGAAGGCTGCGCGAGGCGGGGGCCATGCTTAAACCCACCCGTAGGGTTAGGATAAAGCGAGGCAGGTGCTGGGCAGGGCTTCTGTGCACAGGCCCCAAATATGATCTGCAGAGGTGCGGGAGGCAGCAGAAGTGTTCCTTAAGGCGTGTGTGGTGTGTTCCGGTCACGGCAAGCGGGATGTTCCCCAGGTAGACTGCTCACTGTAGGTAAACTGCATCAGAGACGTCTGTTGACAGGGTGGCCTGAGACTAAAGTCCAGGGGGTCGCCCAATGATTTCACCTCCTGTGACCACTTGGGTCCTTCTTTAATGCATCTTGGAGCTCTATGTTGATGTTCAGAGGCTGCCTTGGGCTCAGTAAGCAAGAGTGCAATGAGGTGTTAGAAGTACCCTGTGATAAGGGTCAGGGCAGGTACAGAACATGGCACTTTAGCCGTTCATTGATGACCTTCCTTAAACTTCCCACATGAGTGGGGAAGGAAGCAGATCCCTGGGCCAAAGGCTGGGCCACAATCTTTTACTTCCTCCTGACCAGTGTGGCGGTCCATCTCCAACCCTAGGGAGAGCGGGCTCCTGCTGGCAGGGAAGGGCTAGGTTAGGTGGTGGGCCTGGTCTCCTCAGTGGCTCCTCCTCAGGAGACATGGAAGCTAAAGGCCAACCAGGGTGTGACAGATAACCACAAATCTATCACATGGAGTTTTTGAGAATTTCCACTACACGGGGTATAGTAGGATCAGTGGTAGAGTTTAATGAGTGACTGGTATAAACTGGTTAAACGTTTTTATTGATTTCTACCTAATTCTACCAAAGAAATGATTCATCTGCAACTCTTTTCACAGTGCACACTTAAAACTACTTGATAGCCCCAGCCTGTGGCTCAGTTGGTTGAAGTGCCGTCCCATACACCAAAAAGGTTGTGGGTTCAATCCCCGATTGGGGTTCATATGGGAGGCAACCGATCGATGTTTCTCTCTCACACAGAGGTTGCGTGCTCTCCCCCACCCCCCAAATCAATTAAGATACATCCTCAAGTGAGGATTAAGAAAAACAAAACTGCTTGATATGTCGTGGACCCTACCTACATTCTTCCGTAAGAAATCGGTGTGCCAGTTCCAAGGGCAGATTACCTCCGCCAGCTCTGCTGAAGGATGATAAACGAAGTCTTGCACATTTGCTAGACCATCCCAGAATTAATACAGCGTCTTCAAAAAATGAATCTAAGTCATTTTAAACCCTGGTTTGAGCCATTTTTTTCCTTTGTGTGATACCCTTTAACTGTTCTGGAAATTGTATAGGCCCTTTGGAATTAAATGGATGCTTCAGTGTCTCTCACCCGTGAAAATATACTACACATCCCAGGAAAAACGCTCCATCCTGAACGCCTTTGTGTTCAGGAGTGGCTCCAGTGCAGATAATTGGCAGGAGGCCCTGGTAAGAATGTGACATTCTCGTAGTCCTCCCTCATTGCCCCCGCCTGTGCTAGTACCAGAGGACTTTGGAAGCACACCATCCATACAGCTCCATGAACGGTCATAAATCATTCATTTGCAATAACTTTATTATTGTGAATAGAAATGAACACGTGAATGATATTTGTGGGAAGGGGTAGCAAGACTATTATGGGACAGAGAGATATCTTTGCTGGTTTTTACCACGTAGAAGTTGAATGGATAGGCAAAACTGATGGTGTTTGAGGCAGTGGTTAATTCCAACAGGACCCATTAGCACATTTCGTCTAATTAAATACTAGATCGAAGGATGAGTAGTGTAAGCACAAAAGGAATTTTAGGGATATGATTGGTACCTTATTAGGGTAATTGAGTGGACAGAAAAAGCTCATAGAAAAATTGAGACTTGAGATGGGCTTTGAATAATAGGAGCAGTTTGAATAGGGGAAGGAGAAAAGGCATTTCAGTTCAAGGAGTTTCAGAGATGTATTCAAGATAAATTGCAAAGTACAAAAATAATGGCTTGATGAAATTAGTCAGAAAAAGCTAAGAACCATATGATTTCACTCATGTGGAATATAAAACTGAAACTCAGACACAGACAACAGTGTGGTGGTTTCCAGAGAGAGTGGGCATGGGGGGTGTAAAGAGGGCCTAATATATGGTGATGGAAGATGGTTTGACCTTGGGTTAAAAAAAACAGGCTTGATATTTTTATCAGGTTTCAAAGAGCAGGAAATATTTTCAGTGGCATTATCGTAAAAGCATCACTCTCGAGTGGAGCCAGCAGAAGTCAGGGGTTTCAGCGGGTGTCACCCACCCATATGTGTGGAGCCTGGTCGGCAGGAGGAGTCCGGTCCACTGCTTCGTCTGCGGCCCCCACTGCCCGGGCTTTTGGAACATTCGTGAGCAAGGATGCTGCTTTAGTGTCCGATCAGAATTCCTCTGAAGGCTCCGGCAAGTAATAAACTAAAAATATGTAAGATTTGCCCCTCTGGGTCACAGATAATAAGAGCCACGTGCAGTTTTTATAACTTTGGGGGATACGGCCCCGAATCACTCCCTCTGTTGGTTATTCAGTGGAAAGAACCATGGGAGTCAAATAGACCTGGGTTTGAATTTCAGCTCTTGCTACTTGCCAAGTACGTTATCAGGTACTTCAGCCTTTCCAAACTGTTTTCCAGGCTATGAAATTGAAATAATGCCTCTGTCCTGCAGTTGTTGTAAGAACTAAGTGAGGCGATAGGTACTGAAGCTGACCTTGCAGTAGGTCTGTAATATCAGTTGCATCAACTCTGTGTGTTAAGGCCCTGCCAGAGCTTGCCTCACTCTGCAGCTCCGACCCCCCATTCCTGGTGAGCACTGTCTGAATCCTGTTTTCCCCACTGACTGCCATTCCTGACCTGCGGAGACAGGCCCCTGGGAGCCTGCGGGGGCTTTAATGCAAATGTGAAAGAGGGACTCCTGGCCAGTTGCTGCCTAGGGGTGCATGCTGGAGGGAGGAAGGTGCCCTGTATGATGCCCTTTCCTCTCTGTGTGGTGTGGTGAGTGGAGGGGCCTGGATTTAATAGCAGCCCCTCCTGCCACTCTGCCCAGGTGCCCTTACACAATGCACTGAATGTACAGCTGTGCACAGCAACCCCAGACAGTGCCATCCGCTGCATCTGCCCAAGTGGGCCCTCCCCCTGCTTGATGTGCAGGTTGCCAGTCCAGTCTGTGTTTCTGTCCCAAAGCCCCTTGTCCTATTACACTTCAGTGTTCTCATCTGCTCAGCCACATTTCTCAGGGACAAAGGCTGCTCCTCCTTTTGAGCTCCTCCTAGCATAGAACAGGGCACAGAATGATAATCATCCAAGTGATTGTCTTTTAATCTCTGATAAACGTCCCAGCTTTCAAAGAACTTTCGCATACCACCTTGTTTAGTGCACCCAGCAAACCTGCAAAGCAGGACTTCTTCCTTCATGGAGGGAAACTAAGGTTTGAGGGGTTAAGCACAGAGTAAGTGCTGTGCTCTTAGAGGTCTTATACATATTTAAAGCTGAACAGCAGATTTTCTTGAATCATTGTGTTATGTTAACCCTACTCAGGTAGCTAAAGTAGATCACTATAGGGCAACTAAGGTAAAAACAGGACCTGTGAACATGGGTGCCTTTGAATGAAACCCATTATAAGTGTATTTACGTATTTCACATACATTCAGAAATATTAATGTAGCGTAATTGAAGCCTGATATTGCACCCCCAAGTCCAGAGTGGAAAATAAATGACTTTCTCCCCCCTGCCCTCCTACACCTGTCAGAGTTCATTTTTAACCACTGGCGCATTGCAAAACATTCATCCTAAAGAGCCTGATTAATAAATCTTGTCTTAAGTGCTCTGGGCTGGCTTTTCAACCAAAACTAAAGCAAGCGCTAAGGTAGAGCAAAATGACTTTCTAAGAGTTTTACTTTTCTCCGATTTATTTTTTATTGAGTTTAAAATATGGTCTGATATTAGAGGTTGTTTCAAAGGTGAGAAACGAAACCTTGAAAAATGCATGCATACATTTAGATGGGTAGGAGTAAACCAAGGCAGCCATACAGGGCTATGTGTTGAAAATAGGAAGTTTCACTCGTGCTTTGAAAGAGACACATTTCAGGGTGTGTATGTTGGAGTAAG